AAAAAAAAATATGAATTGGTGTCTGTGTCTTTCATTTTTGTGTAAAGCAACAGAAAATAGCATAATTTTATATTTTATTGTCCGTATATCGTAATGCGTTATGATCACTTTGCAGCTCCCCGAGTCTGTACTTCCGTAGTACTACCAGGATGAGGCCTGTCTATATACATAGAAATGAGCATTAGAAACCAAAGAGTGTCAGGGATGGAAAAAAAAAAAACGTATAAAAGAAGATAATTCTACCTGCCTCATCTGCGCAGGCCATTCAGTTCTATTTGAACTTGACAGCACAGATTTCCAAGCCTCTTCTGTTCGGTTGCTAACCTACGGGCTGCGTTAACAATCGAAATTGAGTAATGCTAAGGAGAAAGCTGTGCCCTCATCATCAAATGCCAGGGTCGTTGGGATGCTCCGATCTCCACTTCTTCACGAACAAGTAGAACTTCCTCCCATTCTTCTGGTTCATGACGCCGTCCAGGCCAGTCAATTTATCCCTCATTTGGGCTGGCGTGTATCCTTGTTCGAACCAATCATCCGCCCTCGCCGCCCACTTAGTAGTCCATCTGACGAGTTCCTCCTCGTCCAGTAGCGCCGGGTTTCTTCTCTCTTCTTTATCTTCTTTATCTTCATGGTCCCCGCGATAGGTTCGCAAAAACCTCTTGACATTGCTGGCATCAATAGGGCGGGATAGAACAGCAGTGTCACTCGAAATCATTGAAGGCTGCTTAGCATGGTTATTGCCTGAGATGGCCGCATTAGCATTGCAGGAAGAGAGAAGAGTTGCCAAAGCGAGTGACAGGAAGTAGGAGAAGCGCATCGGTGTCTCTTTTTTATGTCGGTGACTTGAGTTCTGTGATCAAAATTGGAAAGTGAGTCGATAGTTAGCCAGAAAAAATCGGCTGTGTCAGGCTCACGCCGCACTTCGAAGTATTTGAACATTAAATCGTGAGATATATGAGGCTGAAAAGGAATACCGTCGAGTGGCAAATATATTCATGATGTTGCAGAAAAAGAAATACGTCTAGTAAACTTATGCGCAGAAGACGTGTTCATGTTTCATATGTTTACTGTATGCATTGCACGACATTTCAACAAACACGAATGGTTTACGGTATTTTTCATATGTTTACGGTATGTATTTCACGACAGGTTTACGGTATGTTTCATATGTATTGCACGACAAACACGAATGGTTTACAGTAAGCATTGTTTTGCACGACATTTCTACAAACCTAAATTGACCTCAAAACCAGTTACCTGTCATTTTCCACTTTTGTAATTTGTAAGACCAGGTATGTTTAGACTTTAATTGTAGTAGTTGCTGTATTACCTACGGACTTATTAATAATCTATGTGCCGACTTGAGCATGGATCAAATAATTAAAGATGTAGTAGAAGTTTTTAGAACACAGTTAATCGTCAGTATTTAGAGCTAGTAATTAATTGCTTGTTGAAGTGTGCAGTTCAGCCAGGCGCCCGGACTGGTCCACCACGGACCGGTCCAGGATTGGCTGAGATCAAGTGGTTGGGGAGCGAAGATGGCGATGCTCATACCAGCACGTTCAAGAAGACAACAAGGAGGATAACAGGGAGTAGTCGGGTAGGAAGTCGTGTAGGACAGGATTAACGTTTTCTAATCTACTCACTTCGGCTTTTGCCCCCTCAACAATAAGCTACACATCAACTTTTCTCTCTCACTATTCTGGTGGGTTTTGACTGCCCGCATTTCAGCGCGAATAAGATAATAAAATACCCATTCTTAAATCTAAATATAAATGCCTTCTGATCTACTGTAGAGAATATTCACGTACTGTACTTTCTGTTAGAGTATGAGTGTAGGATAGATGTGCTTTGCCAGTCTACTGAATTAAAAAAAATTCTCAGAATGACAAATATTTCTTAAATTGAGTGATTCAATCTCCTGAAGGCTTTCTTGCTATCTTTCAATGATATTCAGTAATGGAGACAAAAATTAATGCAGCTCGTCTTACCAAAGTTTTTCGTTTTGAAAAGACTGTGTATGACAAAAGAGGTTATGTGAAGAGGAGCTCCCCGTCCACTCTAATTAGGTGTCCGACAGAATATTTGGGAATCAGATAAAGATTCAGCGATTACCTCTCTATTCTTGCTTGACTAATATATAACTCTGAAAGCCACTGCGAGACAATATATTTCACAAAATACTGTAAAATCTGTAATAGTGCCCCATCCCTTCAATAGTACCCCACCCCCAAAACTTTCTCATCTGAGTGGGGGACTTGCGTTAGTGCCGCACTCTTCAATAGTACCCCACTACACAGATCGAGGAGCTACGCACTAGTACCCCACCTCAATATCGCACTTTGTTCACATTCGATTATCAGTTGGTTCTGCTTCGCAAGCTAACAAATCCAGTAGCGCCTAAATTTCCCCGAAGACGTTGAAGCGCAAGTTCACCGTCGAAGAAAAGCTGTCGGTCATCAAGGAGCGCGCAGTCATATCTCTAAGCAGTCGAAGGCCACTTACATGCTCGAGGAATATTGGGTTGCGCTATTCCAGGAGGTATGACAGCTCACTTGCAACCTGCTGACTACGCGTGGTTCAAGCCCCTAAAGGCCAACCTCATGGAAAGCATCGATGAATGGAAGCTGAACGGAGACTTTGATTACATTCGTGGTGAAAACGTCAAAAATCCTCGCAACACGGTGGTCCTCTGCTGGTTGACTCGCGCTTGGAAGGCCGTGTCTGTCGAAACTATCGTCACTAGCATTCGACGCTGTTTCCTCGGAGCCGATGCTAATCTTGCGCAGAGAAAGCATTCCATCTACGGGGAGGTTTTCAAAGGAGCTCTGAAGAATCAGCGTGCTGACGCTGATTTGGCCACATCAGTCGAAGCTGACCAAGCCCTGGAGGAGGACAGCGACTCGGACGATGGTAACGATGTCGTTGTTAGCATCGCCGAACTTACCCTGTAGCAGAGCTACTCCAACCTTTTG